GAATTTTATGCCGTTATTATAACTTGTGTTTTTATTCATATAATATTTGTATGTTTATTCTGTTCATATATCTAAAAATAAATTACTTTATTTTGAGAGATCTGTTCAGGTCACAAGTTCTTTTCTCATTCATGATCAGAGGGGTGTTTCATTATTTCCTGATTTCCTTCTGCAAGATCGTGTGGGACATGACTTTTATGAGATTAAGCTGGTATTAATCTCATGGAGCAGGTTCTTACAATATTTAAGATCATCCTCCAGACCATTCCATAACCCTAAACCCTGGATTAAATTACATCTTTCTCTCAGGCAAGTATGAAAATATGGCTTCACAAACATTTCCATCCTCTTTAGATAATAACAACCATCTCTCTTAACAAAGTTTGCCTGAATGTTGGAAGGTAATAAGTTTTTATGAGCCTTGTACATAAACAGTAAAATATTATAATCAACCAAATCATAGAATTTCAAAATTTTCAATTTGCAAAATAATGTATTTGATGGATGGTTGTAATCTATTTTAGTGATAATTCTTATGGCTCTTTTCTGTAAAATAAAAATTGGATTTGTAATTGTTTTACAAGCTTTACCCCAGATTTCAATAAAGTAAATTAAATGTGGAACAATTATTGAATTGTACAACACAAGCAGAGCCTTGTCATTGAATAACTCCCTGACTTTATACAGTACTCCTATAGATTTAGATATTTTTGTTCTTAAATAATGTGTATGAGGTCTCCATGTCAGCTTGTCATCAGTGATGATGCCCAGAAATTTCACCTCACTGACTCTACAGAGCTCAATACCATCTACTTTAAATGAGAAATCAACAGTTGTCTTCCTATTACTAAATATCATGTAATTTATTTTATCCAAATTTATTGATAATTTGTTTTATTGAAACCAATTTTGTATTTTCTCAAATTCTTTCTGTACCATCTCAAGCATTTTTTTTCTATATCTTTACCTAAACAAAAAAACTGTTGTATTGTCAAATTTATTGTGCAAATAAAACACATTTGAAAAGTCCTGACATATTTACTACGTCATTCACATATAAAATAAATAACTTAGGTCCCAGTACAGAGCCCTGAGGGACTCCACATGTGATTTTTTTTAGTGAGTATTTAGCAATTATTTACAAGGAATGAAAAATAATATACAAGCAAAGGCACTTCTAAAGGTTTTGCACATGAAAATCACGTAAATTTCTAACTTTAAAAAAAACTTTCTAAATTGAATGGCTATCTGCCCTCCTGTCAGGCCTCATTTTTTAAAATTAGCTTTATTTATGCTTGAACTTGTGTATGCATTTTACTTACTACACTGACAGCAGAATGAGGATTGTGAAACTTTTCAGGAAGAAAACCTTTCTGTCCTCTCCAGAGTCTCTTCAAGTGTTTCCTAAGGCAACAGTTTAGGATTTAAATCGCTGCAGCGCAAAGAAGCAATTAGACTTTGTTGTATTTTTGTCACAGTAAAAATAATCCATCGCTTATTTTCCATCTCAGCACGTGGTGTTTGTAGTTTTCTCACCTGTAACAGGACAAAACGTGGAAGGTGTAAGCGACAGAGTTGAGACTGGCAAGGATGGTGGTGGCGATCCAAGTTTCTGAAACAAATTAAAACTGATCTTCAATTTATGTTCAAAAAATGTGTTGATGTGTTACTGCTGCTCACCCCCACTGCTTGCGTGGAAATGAGAGGGAAGCAGGTGGGACAATAAGAGGCAGAGGTCATAATGGTGCAGGACTATTTAGGGTCATCTTTCTAGGAAAACAGGAAGTGTAGTAAAGAGGTAGAGAAGAGAGTCCAGACAGGATAGAGAAAAGTTTCAGGAGCGATTTGTGGTAAAGTGAGACCAGTTATGTTGTATGGTTGGAGACAGCGGTGTTAAAAAAAACAGAAGACAAAACAGGAATTGTCAGAGCTAAAGCTGACGAGGTTCTCCTTGGGATTGACAAGTACAGATGAAAATGAAATAATCAGGTCCAGCCCAGGTTAAACGGCTGTGAGATAAAGTTAGAGAGGACAGACTGAGACGTTTTAGAGGAGGGACAGTGGGTTTTTTGGTAGAAGGATGTTAGAGATGCAGCTGCCAGAAAAAAAGTCAAAAAGGAGGTATATAGTATTGATGTAGTTAGCGAGGACGTAGAAGTAATTGGAGTTAGTACAGAGTGAGATAGAGGAAAATGACTCTCTGTGGTGTAGTGGCCAGTTCTTCAAAAAGGCACTGAATTAACCAATGAAAGAGCAGTTTCCCCTGACTCATTTTTGGATTGTTTTTGTTGGTTAAAACTCAAGAACAGAAGTCTTGTGGTAATCATCAAAGATACATCTGTCAAACTCAAGGCCCGGGGGCTAAATGTGGCCCATCACTGCCTTTTATGTGGCCCACAAGACCTTTAAAGATATATTAACATCTCAAAATAAGTGCATGCCACTTTAAAGCCAGCATTGACCATAAACTGTCTCCAATAATGCATGTTGTGCATTTTACTCACGAAATGATGGCATCCCACCACTAGGTGGAGGTGTAGAGAGTTCAAAAGTAGCTCGCGGCCAGCAAAAATCACTGTAAAATCTCCAATTCACTGCATTTTTGTGGGCTACTTTTGCTGGGGCTGAGTTGTGCGGGTCGTAATTTAAACTGGAACCAGTGAGAACTCTGTTAGAAAATGGGAGAGTTTAGATTTCAAGATGGCAGCCACTCATCCCAACCCTTCAGTGAGTACTACTCTTTCATTTCTGTATTATTTATTTTAGATTTAGTCAGCCGTGCACGCAGTATTTTTCACTGTTTATGAGCAGTTGTGTTAAAATGCTGTTTCTGTGCAGGAAATACCACATAGAGCTCAGTTATCGTTTGTCAGCGGTGCTCTGCCGTAGCAATGAGACGAGGAACATGACATTTCCTGTTTGGTCGAAGTTAATTACAACTGGCCCTTTGAGGGTCACCATAACACTCATGTGACCCTATGAGTTTGACACCCCTGCTCTGATTGTTCCCTCTCCAAACAGCCTGGGGGGAAAACTCACTCCTGGCCACGTAGATGAATTCCTCAATCCGTGATACTGTGTCTTCCAGAGTCTGGTTGTAAGCAGTGACCACGTCTTTTAGAACATTCTTCCAGTTTTCTGCTTGGTCAAATATAGCATCACTGAGACTGTAGTCTGCTAGAGTCATCTGGAAAAATGTCAGACAGACGAATGAACACAGCAGCTACATTACAAAGGGGTTGTTTACCACAGGAGGACAGTTTAGCTTGATGAAAACTTGTTTTCTCACTGTATACAGGCCTATGAGGGATATGATGGAAGTGCCGATGATCCTGCTTGGAAACTTGAAAAAGGGGTCCCATTCATACACTCGTCTCTGGAACCAGCTGAGGGGTTTACTGCAACACAAAAAGTAAGGAAGTGAACGGTCAGTGTATCTTTTGGTCATTGGTTTTTCATTTTAGAAACGGGTATTAAAAAACAAGAATTGAGTGGATATTTGATTTTTGTTTCAAAATGCTGAAATTAAAATTCAAACACAAAGCGTTTCTCATTCTAAGTGTCAAAAGGGGATGAGCAAATTTTTTTTGAATGATTTGAGTTTCATTTTCGGTTTCAGATAGCATAAAAGAAAATTACTTTAAGACAGAAACGAAAAAAAAGGCTTGTTTGTTCATAATCCCATGACAGGTCGTGCCAATTTACTCTATCTCCCTACAATAATCTGTTTCACCACCAGGAGGGGTGTCTGCAATATCAAAGTTATTCAATGAACATCCCATTACAAGTAAAAAGCATTGATGTTGACTTCGGTTGCAAATATATTTGCCATGTATTTATTTGGTATCAGGTCAATATCGAAGTCGTACTACCGCCCACCCTTCGCTGAAAGGAAAACTCCAAGGACTCAAACTGAGAAAAAAGTAGAATACAGATTTTGAATTTCAGGATGGGAAAACTCAGGACAAAAAAAAACTTTATACTCACAGAACAATAATCGTACAACACACTAATGGAATGAAATTTATCTTATTTATTTTTTTATTGAGAGAAATGGAAGTAGCCGACATGTATTCAGTAAAACAGACGTATTTGGCCAAAAGCCACATGAATTACCTCTGCAAAGCCTTTGGTCACAGAGCGACAGTCATCATACAACTCATTTATGGACATACACGTCTGTGTTTCAGCCTTTTATTTACATAAGTTAATGTTTAATTATGCAGAGCTGCCAGGCAAGCTCCCCTTCTCGTGGGGGAATAGAAAGTTGTAGAATACAAAAAAACAAGCCTTTTTTCCTTTATGTCTTAAAGTAATTTTCTTTTTTGCTATCTGAAACAGAAAAGGAAACTCAAATCATTGTTAAAATTTTGTTCGTCCCTTTTTGATACTAAGAATGAAACACGCTTTGTGTTTTAATTTTAATTTCAGTATTTTAAAACAAAAATCAAATATCCACTCAAATCTTGTTTTTAAATACCCTTTTCTAAAAGGAAAAAATGACCAAAAGATACACTGACCGTTCACTATTGCCTCCATTTCTTTCAATAAAAAGCAAAACAAGACAAATTTCATGCCATAAGGTTGTTGTATGGCTGTTGTTCTGTGAGCAGAAGTTTTCTTTTCTCTTCCTTCCGTCTTTTGACCAGGCTTTGAGAGACTAACTTAATTTAATTTGGAAGCCTTGTCAGAACAGACTGGCCTCATTCACGTCATCCGCTGCCATTGTTTAATTACGAGGAGACTAAAATAATGCAGAAAATCTATGCCATTATTCACAACTCCTTCTGTTCCCTGAGAAATCCTTGTCTAAGGGGGAAATCCCAGACGGAGTGGTGAAGGGAAACTAGAATTGAGTGGAACTGTGTAGGAAGGTAAGGACCAGGCTACCTTTTTGCAAAATTTGTGCTTTTTACTGTCAGTTTGTGTCCTCAGACTGTTACTTTCAGCGAGGGATGGGCGGTACACCTTTGATATCGATCCAATGCCAAGTAAATCCTTGGCAAATACACTCAACGGCCACTTTATTAGGTACACCACGCTAGTAACAAGTTGGACCCCCTTTTGCCCTCAGAACTGCCTCAATTCTTCGTGGCATAGATTCAACAAGGTGCTGGAAGCATTCCTCAGAGATTTTGGTCCATATTGACATGATGGCATCACAC